GGTAATAATCTCTTTTGTGATGTTTTTTTTGTTGCCTTGTACGTGACTGCAGTCCTCAAAATCTGTGATGTCTTACTACCACTCCGCATGATACCCCTCGCCTATGAGTATCCCCCGCGCCCCGCATTCCCCTTGGAGTTCCCGAGTTAGAACTCCCATAATATTACTACTTTCTCCGAACAAATGCAAAGAATATTGAAAAAAATTGATTGGCTTAAGAATAAAAAATCTAGATCTATTAAAGCAAAAATTAGACCCATATATTATTCTTGCTCAGTTTCGAAGAGACTGAATGACACGTCCAGTATCAATCAACTTACAATTTCTAATTACTCAAATAACAGTGTGGATTCTGAAAGAATTTATATAAATCCTTCGAACTTTAGTCAGGAATCTGCTCTCGATACATTGCATGACAAATGGTTTGTCAACTTGAGCAATTTTGACGTTCTTCAGTATTTGCAACTTGGTGAAAAATTTGGTCTGCCTATAAATAAATATAACAAAGAGAAAACTTTAATTGAGTTCATTAAACATATAGAAAATAATTTAAATGGTCGCCCAAAAAATATAATTAATTTTGTCAGAAATAATTCGGTTCCCATACTCAATAGCTTTCAAAATAACTTTCCTTCTCTTAAATTTACTGGAAAACTTAATTTGCAATGGCTACATGTAACCAAAAAATTCATTAACAACCATCAAAACGACCACCTTGATCAAAAAGTTCCCGGAATTCATTCAGAAAATTCAAAATACAAGTTTATTCATCAAAAGTGATATTGTCCCCTTCAAAGTACTCCCCATTGACTGCAACGCACTTATGCCAGCGCTTGATCCAGCTCTCGAAACATTTCTGGAACTCTATTGTCGGTATAGCCATCAGAGCCGTCTTCGATTTTTCCATTACCTCGTTCGACTGTTAAAATGCGTTCCCCGTAGTGGTTTTTTGACTCGATCGAACAGAAAAAAATCGCAGGGAGCCATATCGGGTGAATTCGATGGCTGTTGGATGGGATTCGTTTCGTTCTTGGTCAAAAATTCATGGATAATGATGGCACTGTGCGACGGTGCGTTATCATGGTGCAAATTCAACTCCATTTTTAAAACTGTAAAAAATCGAAAACACGTGCGAGGTAGATATACTCAAGACGGCGTAACTTTTACAAATCTCAAGCTATGGCGATAAAATTTGGTGAAAATGTCAATGATAGATGTGGCAACCTAACCAAAAAAACAGAACTCAAATCAGCTGACTCAGAGCATCATCTGGTGGTAATTCCGGGAACTTTTTGATCAAGGTAATATACTTATTACTAATGCTGATAAAGGAAATGTCACCTTGTGACCTATGTGGTCCTTGACAGAGACGTCTACATATCCAATATGGAGGTTATTCTTTCAGATACTGACACTTACAGATTAATTGATAAAGATCCGATAAAAAAACTAACTCAAGATTTACGTGCATTGCTAGTGAGATGGAAGTGCAATCGTTTTATTGACGAACCTACATATAGAAGACTATTCACAACTGATGGTGTTATACCTAGAGCCTATGGCTTGACCAAAATACATAAAGATGGTAACCCATTATGTGTGATTGTATCTTCCATCAACAGTCCATTATATTGCCTTTCTCTTTTTTTGCATAACATTATCAATGACAAATTGAATGGTACACGTTTTGATTCTCAATATGTTTTGGCTTCATTGGATGTAGTATCTCTTTTCACGAATATTCCTGTTGATCTAGCAGCAAATAGCATCGACAGGAGATGGGACTACATTTCGGCGAAGACAAGCATATCTAAACAAGAATTTATCATTGCAGTTAGTTTTGTCTTGGATTCAACTTTTTTTGCTTTCAATAATAAAACAAGTATTTGGTACTCCTATGGGCTCACCACTATCACCGATAATTGCTGATATTGTTATGCAGGACTTGGAAGAGAGTGCAATTAACAAATTATCTGTACAACCATTGTTTTACTACAGATATGTGGATGATATCATTCTTGCACTTCCATCTAACACTATCAATGACACACTAGATACATTCAACTCATTACACAACAGATTTCAGTTCACTGTGGAGATTGGTACTAACAACTATTTAAGTTTCATTGACACGATGCTCATTATAGATAATCAAAGAATTATTTTTTGTATATCATAAAATTTTTTTGTGTATCATAAAAAGACGTTTTCGGGAAGGTTCCTCAATTTCCATTCCAATCATCCTCTTTCCCACAAAAAAGGCACAATTATTAGCTTCATAGATAAAATTATCCTTTTATCATATCCTCGTTTCCATCAAAAAAATTTAATTGATGCCGTTCAAATCTTTCTTAATAATGGTTATCCTCTTCCTTTCATTTTCTCTATAATTGAAACAAGAGTAAAATTCCATATACATAAAGAACATAGTACGCACAATGCTTATGTCAAAGAAAAATATTTTACAATTCCTTACGTTAAATCCATCTCTGAAAACTTCCTTCCTATTTCCAGTATGTTCCGTTGCACACACAAACTAGCCTTTTCCATCCCTAACACACTTAAATGTCTTATCCAGAGAGGTAAAAATAAGCTAGATTTACTATCCAATCAGAATGTAGTTTACAAGATTTCTTGTGACGACTGTGAGACTAGCTATGTTGGCCAAACAAAGAGGAAACTAGGTACGAGAAAAGAACACATCTCTGATATAAGAAAAAATACTGGTTCTCCTACGGTCATAACCGACCATCGTATAGATTTGGATCTTAATTTCAGGTGCAATCAGGTAGAGATTCTGGATAGTGAATCTTCTTATAACAAAAGATTGATCAGAGATGATTCACGTAAAAAGACAAAAACAAGGTCTTAATAAACAAAATGGCACAGATATTCTGTCGGATTCTCATTTGCAAGTTATACAATCTCTCTCTCCTTCATAGCTGCCTTCCTCTCTCTCTCTTCCTTTGTTTACCCCCTCTTCTCTATTGTTTCTTTGTCTATTTCGTTTTTCCCCCTCTTATGCTATCCTCTATCTATCTTCTTATTCAATGTCTATTATGTCTAAGTATACTAACGAAATGAAGACAAGATTTTTAACTCTCTTCGCATTAGCCTATTATAATATACATGAAGGTATTTTTTTTTTTTTTTTTTTTTTTTTC